ACACTGATAAGCGTTTAATATCGTCCACAGGTAGTCTTCTGCAAATTTTTTTCCTATGAATGACGTTCTTAAACCCCTAAACACAAAATTGTGGACGAGAAAAAGCATTTAGAATAATTACTTGAAATAGATATGAAATATTTTGTATATTTGATAGCTTTCAACATAACATTATATTACATATTCAACTAATTTTCGAATAATTCGTAGGTAATTGAGATTGAAAATGTATATTTCAAATCTTTTAATGCGAATCTCAAAAACCGTATGTAATAATACCAAGAAATATTTTAGATTTGCTTTAATATGCTTCATTTATCTCTGGACTAAAACATTGCTTCCTCAAAGGCCTTGAAATTCATGCAACCCCATTTCATATTCATTCAAATTGTACATATTCTATAATTTATAGCTGAATTGATAATTTCTACGACTGACATTAATCACTTCACCAGTTTCCCGCCGGGTATTTAATCATATGCACACACCCCGCARAAAAGCAAGCATATGAGGCAATACGGCAAGCATACTTTTAGGATTAGCGGGTAACCAATGTTTGAATATGGCACAGAACAAAGTTGCTGCTATTATTGAAGCACTCTGTGCTTTCAATAATGTTCAATGTAGTTTCTAAACTGCTTTTCAAACAATTCGCCCYTCTACACGCCACACATTAGCTCGCATACACATGAGTTCGTATGTGTACGCAAGAAATTAATATATTGATATTAATGCTAACTGACCTTCTTACGTAAAACGTAAACGTCTTAATACAGTGTTGCTTTTGTAGGAAATCAAAGCATTCACCCTCTAATAACAAGTGGCAAACTTACTGCCACACACACCCATGCTTGCCACACAACTTGGCTTAGCGTAAGTTGGTTTGAATTTAAGCTCGAGGAGGTATATACAWACAAGTATAATCTTATATGCATGCATACGTAAGTATGTATGTAACCGTTGATGAGCGCTGGTCTTTGTGCCGAAGGACTTTTCAATTAACAAGCGAATTAAGTGCGGCTAAGAGCCGGGATCATTCGTGCTCTCTGGCAAAGTACTCGGAAATGGTCGCAATGTTGAAGAGTGAAGTGATGAAAATTTGTGTGATTGTCCATGATAATTAGAGACATTAGGAGCTTAAGAGTTTCCGGTTTGAAGSTGACTCTAGGAGTTCGATGCAATCTTTAAGATATAAGAAAGTGTATGGACCTAGCACAGAATATTAMAACAATTTCGGTTACTTGTMGCTTTTAGAAAACTCCGGCCTGTAAAATTGCCTTAGTTTAGGTGATCATCTCTTTATTCGACGAAAATTTCTTCCCAGTGACCAATCTATTGAGATCTGAGAATAAGTGTATTGTCTTAGTGGAAAACCCCTTTCTTTTATTTCTTTTGACCATTTCGTCCGTCAAATGGTTTGATAATGCTATGTAATAGTCGCGGTTGATGGTTCTTCCTTTTTCAATATAGTTAAAACAARGAAGCAACAGCCTACTCAGCCGGCTGGTGGGGTTTTCCACGCATTGGMGCGTCGTGCAGTCCGCTCGGATGAATGTCGATTGGCTTCGGATTCGGAGTGAACTGTTGGAGCCATGTTTCGTCCATTGTCACATATTGATACAAAAACTCGATTTTATTACGCCTGAGCATTTCCAAACACTYCTTCGAATCATCAATTAGTCAGTATTTTTTGATCAAAAGTAACTTTGCGCAGCACCAATCTTGGAAATAGCTTTCTCATGCCCAAATATTTGGAAATGATATAACGTACGCTCTCGGTTGATATCTTCAGAGGGTCGGCTATCTCCTAGAACTTCACTTTACAGTTATCCAAAATTATTTTGTGGACTTTTCAGATGTTTTCGTCGRTAACAAACACTTTTAGRCGTCCACTGCGTTCACCGTCTTCGGTGCCCGTTTTACCAATCTTAAGCTTAGCCTTGAGSGTTAAGTGTCCGGAAACTCGGAACTACGGGCCTTTTGAAGGTTAGGGCTAACTAAAAATTATATRAATATGTGCCAGCCCGGGATTTTTCAATTGACGTGTTATCATGGCATATGACTTCTTAGAATAACCTRAAAAGCATATAGCAATATATAACATAGTTTGGCTTAATGTAACTTAACATAACATACCGTACCGTAACGTAATATGACATAACTTACCTTAACGTAGCGTAACATAGCCTAATGTAACGTAAATTAAAAAAACTTAACCTAATATTTGGAAAGCTTGTAATACTTTTTACAAAAACATACTTAGCGTAACTGAACGTAGCTTTACGTAGCATAACCTAACTAACGTAAAAAGACTTAAACTAACTTAACATAATATTTCCTAACGTAATGTAACATGACATAACTTAACATGACGTAACGTAACATAACATAAACCAACCTAACATAACATAAACTAAACTAATAATTGGTAAGCTTATAATATTTTTGTTTTAAAACAACAAGACATACGTGCTTTAAATATAATAACATAACTACCGTAACGTAACATAACATATCATACCGTAGCATAACATTACAACAAAACAATTCATATATTACATACTTTTATTTTTTTCCAATGTCCAAGCAATCCAAAACTAATCTCCAAAATATGCTTTTGTATGGCACATCGATGTGATTTCTTCTAATATTGCCCCAAGAGTTCGATAGTTCATATGATACAATATATAGCATATACATACACACATATACATATGTATTTACATGCGTTAATTTGTATGTGTGCTCACGCAAAGCTTTCATAGTTAAGTCCAATTAATTTTATTACTTATTACAATTGTCAATTGCCATTTCTAACACAGATTGAGTTGTTAGATACTGAGCAGCGGGTATTAACTTTTCCTAAAACTATAATCTGTGAACTTAACTGAAGTGAAATGAAAGTTGACAGACATATACATATACAGTGCATATGGCCATATATTTGTAGAAAATATATGAATTAATATAGTTGAACAAGGAAAATTTTCTCAGCTCACATAAACACATACATGTGTATATACATATGTATATTACTATATAGTATTTATGTCGGTATGTAGATTCATATATACATATGTGTGTTTATATATCTTTACATGGCCAGGAATACAATCTTTTTGCCGGCAATTAATTAAATGTGGCATTACCATTTGCTAACTCAAGCTAAACCGTTGCATGAGGACTTACTTTGTCAGAGCTTTTATCAGCAGTGACTTGTTTCAAGAAGTTCGAGGAAAAATCTGAAAGAAATACATACATACTTATGCTGTTGTGCGAACGTGTGAGTTTAACTTTTATAACAATTTTATTTGTTAAAGTGTGTGAAAAAATTTGAAAAAGGTACAGCGAATCCGAAATTCACACACACACACACGCATACATATATATACACCTCAACAACACGTGTGCATTAGCCTCAATAGCGATAATTAACCGTAGCACTCAAGCCAAGTTGACCAAGAGACCGCACTTCTGAAAGGACCAACTTTTTTCCCTACTGTGAATACATTCAGTCTCTCCCTTCCGTCAATATGGTCAACTTATAGTGACATTAAATTCTTCCGAATAACTTAATTCATTGCCATCCGTTATAATTAAATTAAATTAGTACACTTTAACGGTTAGCAAAGCTTAAGAAGGCCGAGGGATGAAAGCAGGCGTTAGAAATTTAATTCGCTAAGCGTGCATCCTTTAAACGTCGCACGGCGAAGTGCGAATGAGCGAAGTTGGAAAGAAAAAACTAAAATTCAGAAAACTTTAATATTTTTGTACGCATTCAGTGCTGCCACTTCGGTTTTCGTGAAGGCAACGACGCTTCGAACCCCCTTGTTCTGGACAATGTGAAAAAAATCCAGTTCAACGACGCAGCAACCAAAGCAAATTAAATCATTTTAATGATTAAATGAGACTAAAGTTGGATTTAGCGCAAAGCTGCAACAGCTCGCAGCGGTTGGAGTTAAGTGGCGTGGCCACAATCAGTAACAACCACCAGGTCTTACRTTTGCCACCCCAATGGCTAACTGACAAAGCTTCAAGCACTGTCATAAAACATAATCGTCACTCATTATGTTAAAGGGCCACTGCTATGCGTGGTCGAAAGAAAATTTAAMCTCATACTACCATATATATACCAGTATGATATGGAATTGATATTCCTTTGTAAAGGTTTGGTCATAGAACGGACATTGATAATGAGAAACCAATAATATAAGTAAAGTGCTGGCTGGCAGGTTGTACAAAGATGCGAAGAGGGTAAGATGAAATATCTCCTGTCATCAAACAAACATTCGTCAAATTCGTGACTTGGTTCCCACGTCACTGCTCACAGTCATAACTTCGAAGTCGTCAGCWCCGAAATCCAACAAGTACTACCTCGGACTAAGTAGGCCATTGAGAAGTAAAGTTCTCTCTCGACGAACAAAGCTTTAACTCTACAAGTTACTCATCATTCCCGTCTTGCTATATGGTGGGCATGTACGATGACAACATCTGATGAGTCGGTGGTACTAGTTTTCGGGAGAAATGTTCGGCGCAAGATTTATGATCCTTTGCGCGTTGGCCACGGCGAATATTGCATTCGATGGAACGATGAGCTGTACGAGATATACGACGACATTGACATAGTTCAGCGAATTAAGAGACAAATGGATAAAAACACTCCAGGTCTGAGAGCCATTCCTTCTCCCAATTCCTGCAGGGCATATAGGAATCGATGTATACAATTTTTTCTTGTATTATGCATCTTCTCACTTCGTCACTACCAATTTAAAGCCAAATTTACTTTTTTATTTCTTCGAAAGCCTCACTTCACTTTCTATTATAAAATTAAATTTAATTGTTTTCTTGCGAAAGTGTACTTTAAATAGAGGTGATATAAAAATAAATTAAACTGTGAAGTATCACAAATATATTACACGAGTATGCTATACACACTTAAACACATAAAATGGCAATCAAAGAATGCGAAACTCTTGATTTGTTGTTCTTTATTTGCACTTTACTGGTATAATAGAAATTCTTTCGTTTGTTGGTATTTTACTACTAACGAGAGAGACTTGCTGAGTACAAATTCACACAGCGAAGATTTTGAAAACTTGAAAAGTTTCAAAAGAATGTCGTGAGAACTGTTRGAGTGTGTCATTCTTTGCGCATCCTTTCTTTTGGGACGCTAACTGTACCAATTGCAATATTGTCATGTTTCTTCAGCTTGGGGTTTCCGATTCTTGTGGGTTGGATATTCACTTCATTTATTTAAGCACAAATTATGTATACCAAATAATAGCTCTACAATAGTACGATAAATTGCCAAAAGTGGACCACTCCAAGCGGCCTTCTTTGCAAACGGATCTTCGAACAATTCACTTTTTAATGCAATGGCGTAGATATTTATTATTGCTTAAAGTCTATATCACACTTAGTGCCTAATATAGCTCATATAGACATCAATCTAGAAAATAAGTACAAGAATTTTACATATTTTATTAGGTGCGAAGATTTACAGCCTCATGGCGTACGTTTTTARATATTCATGTGGCGGTGGCGGCTTATAAACTACCTCACCCTCCTTATCCAGATAATCAGCATACTTAATAACATTCACACAGTTCATACCCAAACGTTCCGCTAATTTCGCCGAATACAAGCTGGTACAGTCCAAAGTCATAAGTGGATACTTGAGCTCTAGCCCCAATCCTTTGAACTTTTCTAGAAGTCTCATACCAATTGCAAGTCCACGTAAACTCTTATCGACCGCCAGCGCATGTATATGCAATGCTYTCTCAACATTATAACGYTCGTAGACATTGSAGTCGCGCTCGGCCTGAGCCAATATGCCCACCTGCGTACCCCAATTGGATGAACCATAACGCGCGGCCTCCTTAAATAAATGTTCAGCTTCATTACTATGCTTCGGGCCAGACAACAAAACGCCAACTATGCGTTCGCTTAGAATACTGCCAGCTGTTTGTTGTTGCATCGCCATTAAGCTGGTTCCATGCGCTATTTGTGAAATATTGAACTGCTCATCTTCCAGATCCGGATGTCCTTGTGCGCTGCCAATRTTCATCGGTTCATCTGGATAGAAATGTATTCGTATGAATTTAAGCACGTCATCGCTTTCACCCAATTTTATTACGCGAATACGTATATTATCCACTTGGCTCGGTTTAGTCTCGGTACCAGTCATTTCCTGTCGAACACTGTTACTCTAATGAAGTCAATATTTGGAATATTCAGTATTTTAAATGTTTTATCGTCGGTCACGGTTGATAAATTTCCTTGCAACAGCTAGTGGGAGGTGTAATAAGATATGACAATTGCAGCCAACTTAAGGTAGAAAGTCGTATATTCTATATTGTGATAGCGTTCATTAGTAAGTGAACAAAGAGAAAGTAAAGGTTTTGAATCGTTAGCAACTAGCTACCATCAGTAACTAACAGTAGATTTATGACAGTCAGCCGAATGCAGTAAACAGCTGATATCGGCAGAAGTGAGTGCAAAGATAAAGCATTATTTATAAATGTAGTACTCCTCGAAAATGTTAAAGATTTGTGTTTATACACTAGTCTTTGCATTAGAACAGTATAATTACGATCCAATATGTTTCCTGAAGTAAACTGCATTTTTCCAAGAACAATTAGCCAAAAAACTTGTTTTTGGTCGTACATCAGTCGAGTCTATGTAACATAAAAGAGATCAGTTTAATGTCAACTCGTCAGTATTTTCTCAAAGCTCTTTGGAGTCTTTATAACAACATAGCTTATCGAGCTTGAATCTCCCCACTCGTACGCAAAGTTTGCTTGCCTCAGGGTACACCTCTTTAGCCTTTTAAATACAAAAGTACGGTACTTTTGAATATCTCCTTTTCTAATATAAGGCTCTAAGTTAAATCTCTTTAAATCGATTCCATTATAGAAATTTGGACGTAATTTGTTTGGAAAAGTAAGCGDKGCCCCGCCCCCTACTAAGTATTTTGTACATATCTCGGAAACTACTATAGCTATGTCAACCAAACTCTATAGAGTCGTTTYCTTCAGGCATTCCCATATACAGTTGAAAAATGGAAGAAATGGGATAATAACCACGCCCATCWCCCATACAAAGGTTATGTTGAAAATCACTAAAAGTGCGTTAACCGACTAACAAAAAACGTCAGAAACACTAAATTTTACGGAAGAAATGGCAGAAGGAAGCTGAACCCAGGCTTTTTTTAAATTGAAAATGGTCGCCCACTTATGGACCCAAAACCATATCTCAGGAACTACTCRACCGATTTCAATGAAATTCGSTATATAATATTTTCTTAACACCCTGATGACATGTACATTTTGAATTCCATCTGATGCCTTCTCTGTATAATATATACATTAGGAACCAATCATTATAGCGGAATAAAACTTTACGGAAATACGGTATTTGAGCTGAGGTATCCCTTGTGGAAGAATTGTCGTGGTCGGACTATAACTTTTCAAGGTTCCATTTTTATACTCTCGCAAATAAGTTGCTAATAACGGGATATATCGTCAGATATACATATGGTTATATATACCAAAATGATCAGGATGACGAGTAGAGTTGAAATCCGGATGACTGYCTATCCGATCGTGCAAGSTGTAACTTGAGTAAAAATTGAGATATCTTGATGAAACTTGTTATGCGAGAGTATAAAATGTTCGGTGACACCCGAACTTAGCCCTTCTTTACTTGTTTAATTTTGTAACGATTTAGGTAAAATTGTATAATTATTCCTATTACTTAGTGCAATACTTACTTAATTACTTAGTACAATGCAGAAAAAGCATACAAATTACGGCGAACGTGGCTCGAGAACTACATAATTGTTCGCTGAGCAATGCGCCTTAAATGCAATAAAATATTTACTCAAAGCCCCCGTAAAACAGTTGAATGAATACAATTTAAGATAATAATTGACGGGATATAGGCATATTAGTAAGAGAACCGTTTGACAAGTGCTTWACTTTTTACACAAAATATGCAGGCCCATCAGGATATATTGATTGCCCTTAGCCACGTTTTCATGCGGCGAAGTGTCGAAAAGACCGTTCAGAGGTCGAATTCGTCACAGGAAGTGTACAGAATAAGTTCTCACGCAAAAATTTTCACCTTTAGTTTGTCGGCCGCAGATTCTTAGTTTTTCTTCGTCAATCTTCAGTTCTGCTGCCAWTTTTTTCSTGTCTGATCGTTCTATCCATTTAGAAAATGTTCCACTTTTTGCTTTTTGTCTCCGWTTTCGTTACAAGCAGCGATTTTCCAGATCGATCGATTCTTTCTGAAGGATCACGTTGAGTGAATRGGTTAGAGATATAATATCACATAGGCAAACAATTCTATTGTATTCTGAGTATCATTGCTTTTCCCGATGTTTCCCCCATTTCCTTTCTGAATCCGTCACTCCTTAAATCCATGAAATGGCATTCTTCTAATGAAAAAGCTGTTGAGCTGTCGTTCCTTATTTGCATACAATGTTGGACGAGGCTAAAGATCGAGCTTCAAATAAATATGGTTTTTACTGTGAAGGAGATTTKTAGATATGCCTAAGTTAAAGTCTTTATTATTCTTACAAGTGACGTACGGTTAATTAGTTGTTACTTAGATTTCTTCTAACTGTGATTGAACGAKCTCGTTTTACTTCAAAAGGACTTAGAACATCTTATAAGATGAATACTTTCTCTTACAAGTTATTTTAATTAACAATACAAAAAACAGCTTTGCCTTTGAAGATCTGAAGCACTTCTTCATATTTCCGAACAACTGAAATTGAATGTAGTGCCTTGCACTGGTTAGATGGCAGAGGCTAGAGAGGCATTAAAAGGAAAATCAGTGATTCGCCCAACATTTTCTTCTCTAAAATTGTGCATAGTGTTTTCGACTAGGAAGCAGTCGCACAGAGCTATTGAGTGTGAAAATTCTTTCTTTGTTTGAAAAAGAAAACACATTCCATATTTATTCGATAATGAATCTCTGCTTTTATTACATTTTGATCTYTCAAACGATGGAACAAGTTTATCTTCACCTTATTTTAGATACTCACATGGTACTGAGAGGTCAGAATATCTCTTTCTCACGCTTTCTGTTACAGAGTTCTATTCTACTATTTGGAAGAAATATCACACTATATTATGACTACTAAAGTTCCTAAAAGACCAATAAGACTGGGAAACAAAAATTGCCTTGTCAAATCTCTTAGTTTTGACGAACTTGTCTCGACCGTCGGTAGAATTTTTATAAATGTGAGGAAAAGGTCGAATTTTCACTTCAGTTCTAGAGTTATACTGAATAATACAGCTATGTGCCCCAAAAMAGAAATATTGAGAACTTCCGCCGCCATAGAATTACAATATTAATACCAGAACAGAGTAACAGTGACAAGTCATTCACGGTGAAAACTTCATTGTTTTTCTGTTTTGTTCAAAAGCAACATTTGAAATCAAACAAYTTTTTGGCAGAAATTGGTAACAAAATTGTAAATAAACAAATTCATGGGAATATAAACATTAACGATTTCGGACTAAATTAACCGACAACAAAACAGAAAGCAGTAGAATCCACGCAACTACGAACAAAAAAAAAAAAAGAAAAAAAATCGTTGAAAGTAAACAAATAAATTTGCGCAATAAAACCAAAAATTTATTCTAAACCACCGATCTCGGCAAAAACGAATCAAATGTCTCGCCGCAGTAAGAAGTGCTGTTGGGATGCCAACGATTGGCTGCCGGCCGAAGTCATATACTGGCTGAATGTGCCCAGTTTTCCGCCGGTCTGGAGTCGTTTAAGCAAAAAGAACTCGGCCAATGTGCCGCGTTGCATACCGGCRAGYARGTGCGGGGTCTACGACATCGAAATCCCGAATGAGCTTTKKTCGTTATGGGGCTATCTGCATCCATGCAACCAAGTYTTCAATCCTAAACCGTGCGGCAAGCAAAGTTGGGCCTGCAACATAGTGGCTTGCTGTGCGGCAAAACTTTATCCGCTGGCGCATTGGAAGCCACACCTCTTGGACAACATTGTGATCAATGGCGATCGTTATTATTACAATAGTTTGCGTAAATTCCRCGGCGAAACCTMTCAATTCACGCTAAATGATCTGTGTGATACTTGTTGTTTGGATAACTTACGCTTTAAAGTACACACAGAGATGGTTTCATATGGCGCACTCTACGAGCAAGACAACTCGCCTATAAAGAATTTAGCCAAGAGCCTGATCAATTTCTTCAGTCAACATAAGGTGGGTCTCCTGCATTGTCGGCACCTGCGTGCTCTGGTCATTGGACGTGATAATTGCAACGGTTGTGTTGGTGGTGATTAYTTCATGTTCGACTGCCAGAGCAAGGATTATCCACTCTTCGGCAAGGGTGACTGTAGGCCCTACTTGCTGCGCTGTAAGACGCTGCAAATGCTGCTCTATTGCATTGTGATGGCGCTTGAGGTGCGCTGCAAGAAAGTACAGTTTACATTGCATAAGGTTGGCATCCGTTATGAAGGTCCAATACTCGAAGATCAGGATGAGGACGAATTAAAGAAGTTGCAGCGAATCATCGCAAGAAGAAAGGAGAAACCCGTGAAAGTGGGAATTGCGAGAATTCGAAATATTTGCAAAAGCATTCAGKGTCCGAAGAGATGAACGTCAGAAACCTGTTTCACCGATTTGAAACCAAAAATAATCCGTACAGATCTGTGACATAGATCTACATAATTTTAATGGGCAGTCCAACTGAATCGAGATATCCCAAGGCTTTGAAAAACTCGTTGAAGAGCCTTTAAAAATACCTGCGAGTTATCGCACTGGAATCTTTGTGTGTCAGTTGCAAAATTTCCACAAAGAAATGAGTTTGTCTACTGAGCCATTGAAAGTTCTAAACTATAATCCTACAGGTATTTAATATGTCCTGTGCTCTCCATCAGCTCCGATTTCGGACCCCATTCTACTGTAAAGTTTTTAAAGCCGACGATGGAAGCCCCATTAAGGCAGCAATAGAAAGATTGTTACAAAAAACTCTCTATCGTAATTTCATTATTAWCGGAACAGTGGCGGTTGAGAGCTTGGACTTGAATATTACTATTAAGGACTTCAGTCCTTTAGCTGGGTCAATACTTCCGTTGTCGGAAGGTTCTTCTAGTCCGAGCTTCATGCACCCAAAAGTATACGTCTCGTTCTATTTATATACGTATGTTTAGACTGCTAGGTACCGGATTGGCACCCATCTAGTAAGACAACAATTTTTTCAGTTGCTGAAACGAATTTTATTAGTATATCTTTTTTAATTACTATTTGGTAGAAAAAACAGTCTTACCCGATTTTTGATGAGCTCAAGATGCCTCGAAAATATAAAACCCTTTTTCCGGAAATTTATACAATGTCTTAGTCAACTCTCAGGTCTAATTGGAAACCCTTCCGATGAGGACTCCAAACGTACTGCTTTTACTACGTTCACCCCTTTATATGTATATATTTATTTATTGATTGAGTTTCAACTGTCAAAGAAGATAATACTCMCGCGAAATAATCACGTTCCAGCGCCCTAAATTGTAAAAGCTCTTACTTTTAGACAAYCTCGCTCCATCCTAACCTTACAAACAAATATTTATTCAGTGGTAAACAATTTATTTTTCTCTTAATGGCTTTATCACAACTTGGAGCCAAATATACTAAAAAAGATATACAAWATCTACGACAATAAGTACGAAACATTTATTGTATAGTAGGTATGCTTGAACATTTACAGCCTCATGGCATACGTTTTTAGATATTCATGTGGCACTGGCGGTTTAAACACCACCTTACCGTTCTCATCGAGATAATCCGTGTACTTAATGACATTCACACATTCCATACCCACACGTTCACATAATTTAGTCGCATAAAAGCTGGTGCAGTCCGCAGTTATGAGTGGATAGTTGAGCTCACGACCCAAGTCTTTCAACTTCTCTATGAGTTTCGTTCCAATTCCACGTCCACGGAAACTTCTATCGACCCCGGCAACATGTATATGCAACGCTCTCTCAACATTATAACGCTCGAAGACGTTAGAATCGAGCTCTGCGTGTGCTAAAATCCGAATCAAAGTGCCCCAATTGGTCGAACCGAGACGATCGGCCTCTTTAAATAAATGTTCAGCTTCATTACTATACTTCGGACCAGATATCAAAACGCCAACTATACGTTCGCTTGTGACACCGTTAACTATTTGTTGTTGCACTGCTATTAAGCTGGTTCCATGCTCTATTTGTGATATAGCGAATTCTTCATCTTTCGCATCTTGTTGTTTGCCAATATTCAACGGTTCATCTGGATAGAAATGTATTCGGAGGAATTTAAGCACCTCATCGCACTCACTCGGTTTTATTACGCGAATTTGTATATCGTTCACCAAGTCTACTTCAGTCATTTTCTACCGAGGTCTAATACGCTAATGATGCCAATATTTGGATTTTTCATAATTTTTAATGTTTTCTCAATAGTGAGAGCTTATAAATTATCGTGCTGATGATATGGATGAATGCGATAAGATAATTGTGATGCCGACTTAATGAAGCTAAGGGAATGTAGTCGAATAGTCTATATTGTGTCAGATTTCATGGGAAAGTGACTAAATAGAAAGTAAGAGCCGGTAGAGATTTGATAAGGAAAACATACATATAAATACAAATCGACGCACGATAGTTAGCAGAATTGTATAAACAGCTGATTTCGTCGGGAGTGATTTTTCACACAAATATTTGCCACATTGACTTTTCATCAAAAGTAAGTAATACTGTAGGTCAATGTTCAGTAAAGAGGTTATATTTCTAGCACAAATGATTTGTCACATCTATTTTCGAGCGTCTGATACCGATAAATGGGATATAGCATGGATTTTGAAGTGGCTACCTAACTCCAAAGCATGTGTTTTCCATACAAAGATTCACTACAATGGAGAGATAGCTAAGTGATAGCCGTCTGCTTCTACAGCAAGAGGATTGGTTGACTGTTAATGCAGAATGCTCGATGTACTTGATGTACATACTTGGTATGAGGCATTTAACCTGTCTCTTATACACATCTATGCAGAATGCTCGATGTACTTGATGTACATACTTGGTATGAGGCATTTAACAGGGTATTAGG